CGTGCGCGACAGACCATTAGACTAACTACCCAACCCGAAACCACGAAATCCATATCTCTAGTTCTAGCTATACCTTCGAACCCCAAGCCCTAAATCCTCAAACCGTGAAGCACCAAACTGCTTCACCCCAAGCCCCTTAAAGCCTAAACCCAAACAACCCAAAACGCACTCTTTTGTCCTCAGTCCTAGACCCTAGATCCTGTATGAGCCATAGACTAAACTCCCAGTATCTCCCCTTAAGAACCACTATGATACTCCCTTATAAAAATCCCCGATATAACCCCCATTAAGGAGTGTACCCTAAACCCTAAACCCTCAAACCGATTACAGCTCATATAACCCTAAGCGGCTCGGCCCTACAGGCCTGGCTTGGCACCGTTGAAAGAACTACAAGGCTCGAAGCACCGAGTCGCCTAAAATGGACAAAGAAGGGCGGTTTAGGGTTTAGGGTTTAGGGATTTAGGGATTAAGGGTTTAGGTTTTGGGCATTTGGGATTGAAGGGTTTCTGTTTTGTTCGTTTGGGATTTGCATGGTTGCATTTGAGATTTAAGGGCTTAGCTTCTGGGCATTTGGGATTTAAATGCTTGGCGCTTCTTGCACTTGGGATTTCAACGACATTTGAGAATCCAACGCCTAGTCTTGGAGCTTGGGCTTGGTGATCCAGATTGGATTCCCTTGGGCTACTGTTGATGGAGGGGCACTTCCACCTAAACCCGAAACCCGAAACACTAAACCCATAATCAACATCCAATTCCTTGGCATGGACTAAGGGTGGTGCAAAATTGTGTCCACCAAGACTTCCATTTCGAGTTATGGGGCTTTCGAGGTTTGAAGCTGTAGGCCTTTAGGGTTTGTAGGGTTGTGGCTTACAGGAGGGTTGAGTAATGGGGACTTGCGTTTTAGGATAGAAGATAGAGCTTCACCAACAAAAATATCAACATAGTGCGTGCAAGCGATACGCAAGTATGTCTCGGGTTTTCCGGTCAACGTTTGAGGGCTTTTCATTGTATGTACGTCCGGCCCTGTGATGTGAGCTGCAGTCAATATTTCCAGCATCATTTAAGGCACATGGGTTCCCTATTAGGGAATCTTTACAAACCATACTAAACGAAGAGAGGAAGCCCTATGTCTATGGCTAAAGACCTCTTAAAGAGGCTAATGCTGAAAGTAGCTCATGTCTATGGTAAAGGAGGGCCCTGGAGCCCCCAGCGAGTGCGCAAAATCTGGGTGCCGCGGTTGGAGGAAAAGTCCATGTGGGGGGGTGTTCAGTGGTACCTAATAGTACACATGTGAGTACGGGCTCCCAAAAAGACCCTAAACCCTAAACCTAAACCAAGGGGGGCCATAATTCTTGGAAAGCCCATCAAATGGCTTGTTGTTGAATGATGGAGCTGACGTGAGGGCCAACAGGACTTGGCTTTAGAAGTCAGAGAAGAACGTGGTATAGTTAAGGTGGACCCCCCACCCAGTAATAGTGACTATAAGGGATAATAATGATAATATTAGGGTCCTCTTATAGTCCTATTATACCACTATTACAGGGTGGGGGGTCCTCCTAAGGTATAGTTGTACAGCCTTGGCCCCCAAAGTATGTAGAAGAATGGCATGTGTGCATCTATTTTTGGTTTGTTCGGTGCCGGGTTTGGGGCCATTGCTTACCTACCTTCGGGGTACCTTTCCAGGGGGCACCATGCTAAGGACTATCGTATTTTTGGGTCTATAGTGGGTCCCCCCATTTTGGGAAACTACAATTTCTTCTTCTCAAGAAATATGGGTGCCCCTTGTGATACTGCACCAACTCACCCATACCCCAAACAAGATCCTATCCTTGGGGTTGGATGGTTGTCTATTGCAGTCGCATGATACTTGGAGGTTCAGGGAGACTTCGTAAGTAAGTTAACTTACCCCTAAAACCCATATAGTAACCCCATTTATCCCCGTCATTAACCTACTTACGAAATCCCCCTGACCTCCCAAGTAAGGTCTAGGCTTTCGGGTTTAGGATCCCCGGGCCTCCCTCCCTCTCTCCCCCTGATATCAGCCCTTGACAAGACTCAAAAAAACAGCACCTGCTGCAGAATAACATTCTTTTCTGGACCGCAATTTAAAGAATGTGAAATAGTAGCCCAAAACCACTGGAAAGAGTCAAAGACCAATGTTACTCTACATATGTTGGGTTTGAGTCAATCCCCCCACCCAATGATGGGCGCCACCAGGGACTATTGTAGGTATATTCAGGCCCTATTCACTCCATATTCAGGAGCTATGCTATAGGGGGGATTGACCTAATGTTAGTTTCTAGATTGGGGTTGAATCTTCTATGTGCTCTGAGTCTTTCAGCCGGCAACGCGAACAGGAGCGCCACAAACTTGAAGAGCCTACTACCTGGACATCTGTCCTTCGTGGCACTGCGCCTAACTCATAGCACCCCATTTCCTCCCTAACCCTGAACCCTCAACCCTGAACCCTCAACTGCAAATCCTAAACCCTAAACTGCCAACCCTAAACCCTGAACCCTACACTCTAAACTCTACACCCCAAAGAAGCTGGAAAGATGGTAGCCTGAATTGCCAAACATCGCGACACCAGATTTAGAAGCCACACGCCCTTCAGCTTGCCTTACTGGGGGTTGGTGGGGAATAAGGGAATATGTAGGAATATGTAATGTTTAGAGTCTCAGGGTTTAGGTTTAATAGAGAATAAGAGTGTATACATACATATATATATATATATATACATATTCGTTGTAGGGCCTAAATTCCCTGATTCCTACTAAACATCCCTAACTTACTCATAAGGGCCAAGTACCTAAATCACGCTTAGCACTAGACCCTAACCTTCCCTAAGGGTTCAAGGACCCAAATCAGAAGGTTTTAGGGCCCAAATACTATAATATGAATGGTATTTAAGCCCTAAAGCCCTATTATTTGGGTCCTTGGACCCTCAGGGCTTATTTGGGTACCGGAGCCCTAGAGCGCTTACAAGCTTGTTGACCCTCCAAAGCCTGTTCCTTCGTTAGGGTTTAGGGTTTAGGGCCCAGCCTCCGTGCAAAGAACCAACACTCTTCAAATAACAACCCCACATACTCCTTGGGTACTGCCCCCCAGTAACAGTCTGTATTAGGGGTCCTATTAAGGGCTATATATAACCACATTATACTTACCATCCACCTGTTACTGAGGGGGGGCAGTACCCAACATAATCCCCATGAACCTATTGTGTTATCCCGATCACAAGTAGGTTTAGGGCTTGTCATGACGACATATACATAGGTAAATGTGTATACAACCTTCCTGCAAACCCTAAACCCTCAACCCCTGAACCCTAAACTCTCAACCACTAAACCCTGAACCCTAAACCCTAAACCCGTATACCCTAAACCACTAAACCCTCAACCCTGAACCCCTAAACCCTCACCCCTGAAGCCTGAACCCGAAACCCTCAGCCACCAAACCCGGAACCCTAAACCCCTAAACCCTAAACCCTAAACCCTCAACCACTAAACCCTGAACCCTAAACCCCTAAACCATCCACCCTCACCCAACAGTATTACAAGACTGCTTGGGGCCGCGCCCTGTCGGTGATCAGGGATGGTTCCATGTTGCCGGGCGAAACAAGGAATGGCGCAGCTTAAGGTTTAAGATTTAGGGTTTAAGGTTTAGGGCTTAGAGGTTTAGGGTTGAGGTTTAGGGCTTAGAGGTTTAGGGCTTAAGGTGAGCGTTATTGTTTATAGTAGGTTTAGGGTTGAAGGGTTTTGGTTTAGGGTTTCAGAGATCAGGGTAGGTGAATATAGGTACCAGTGTCTAGGTATACATTTAGCTGACTGTAGGAGCCCTACTGAAAATTAAACTTTGGGCCTCCGTACTATAGCCAGTCGGAAGCCCAAAAAGCAAAGTCCGTCGAAAGCCAGCCCCGTATATCTAGCCGCGTGTATATACGTATATCCTTATGTATATAACTGCAAAAAAAGAGATCCACTCCTCTACTCAACCTTAAGCATCAGTAAGTCGAGAAGGGCTGAAGAGCGTTGGCTCTCTTGAGTAAGGTTAACCTTGAACCCTAAGCCCTGAACCCCTAAACGGATTTGAAAGACTTGGGCTTTCGGGGGCTTCTGACCAACGCTGACAATTAGCATGCGAAGGTTTCCCACAGTAGAAGGTCGACCTTTGTATATTTGTGTAACTCAACCGGTGCGTTGTTCGTGTCCCTACGGTCCAAATAAGACTCTCATTGCTGCGCATGTGGTTTGAAAGGAAGCTGTTGGACCCAAACACCGGGGAACAAAAGGACAAACTAGCTTCACCAACGCAGCGCGGGCTTGAGGAACTCATTCCAAGTCGCGATATGATTTTAGGAGGCGGTTTAGGGTTGAGGGCGCAACCTAACGGAACATATCCTCCTTATTCCGGTCTGCATCAGAGTCTACAGAGAGCACTGCTACTTTCAGCCAGCATGGTGGGTTCTCAAATGTATGGTCCCTTGTTGAACATAATGAGGCCCCTGTCGTACAGTGCCGAGATTGTTGCGCGTCTAAGAGGATCTGTGCTGCTCGGAACATGCAGCTACAGATTTTGGGAGACCCTAAACCTTGAACCCTCAACTTATCTATCCCTAGAGTACTACTAGTACCCCCATATAAGCCCTGATATTGGGAAACCTCCAGAAAGTAACAGCAGAACTTCAGTTTGGGCAAGGTCACGGATTTTCTGCGCTCACGAACGTGTCGCCAGGCAAGACCGCCTCCGCGTGCCAGACTCCCAGTGACGATCTTCATGAGTCAGAGTGCCTAGCCTCTGTAAAAGGCTCGGGGCGTCTTCAAGAAAGATGGCGCGAATCAGAAGTTGGATGAAGTCTTTGGACCATTTACCAGCTGACCCATGCATGTTCTTGTCCAGAGTAAACCTGGAGGGGTCGCATGGGATGTAGGACAGGCACAAACAGTTCCCAGAATGGGGAGGGTGGGAATCTATCTAGACACTTGCATGAAATAGGAAAACCCCTGTAATGTGACCTGTGTTATAATGAATTTAGGGAGTTCTCCATACATATGGCCAAACGTGATAACCCTAAAGACAGGGTCCTCAATGTTTCTTGGGATGTGCTCTGCGCAAAAATATATAGTCCGCCTTAAATAGATAGAATTTGGCTCTGAGAATATTATAGTAAGATCCGCATATACTCCATATTCTATCTACTTAAGGAGACTATACAGCTTGGATAGGTCATGCCCAGCAGCAAATGAACGTCTGATCTTGGCATATTCAAGGTATAGGCGACGCGCCGCCAAGGAAGGGGGCCAAGCTCTGTTGCACCCAGCAATCCCTTCAATGCCGCTGAAGCAAAACCGACATGCCCGTCGCTAGAAGTCATCCAGGAGCACTCGCTCTCCAATGTGCCTTGATCCCTAAGGGTCCACGTACCTAACCAGGATGTTACCTAGCATGAAGCCCCTCTCTCTAAAAAAAACAAGCCCCGAATAAGTAGTTGTTTAAGTACATGGACCCTTAGGGTATCAGTTGCTGAAACCACTTGCGCGGTTCTGAGTCTTAAGCCGCCCCCTAATGCACCGGAAGACTATGAGGTTCTTACAGTAGGATGCACATTTGGCAACCCACGTCGCAATACCAGGGTTTAGGGGTTTAGGGTTTCGGGCTTAGGGTTTACCAGGATCCTTACTTGATTTAGGCTTAGGGTATGCGCCTTAGCTGAAGGGGGCAAAGGTGGGCTGTCGTCAGGTGATTGCGCTTCTTCTTTGCTGTTCCCATCACCCTAGCCATGTTGCAAAAAACCTAAAGACTATAAAGCCTGTAAACCTAAACCCTAAACAGCAGGGCGGCACACCCTAGTCATGTTGCAAAAACCCCAAACCCTATAAAGACTATAAATCTAATCCTTAAACCGCGGAGCGGCAATCTTCCTCCAATATATTCTGGAAACGATCGGCTTCATATTGCCCCCGCCGGGGCTTGCTTTTTTCAACCGAAGCTTCGCCAGTGAGGTCATTGGCTGCGGCGCTTTCGCATGGATCAACGAAGCCATGTACAAGATCTACACTCCAAGATGATTTCTGAAACAGCCGCTGGACAAAGCTTGTTGATGGAAAAGGATTCTTGGTGCACATCGCAGCTGTGCAAAATGGCACCATGACGTCATACTGAGAGGCAGCCACAGCCGTTAATGACTGAAACCTCCTCAAGCAGCAAATGTACTCATCCTTGCTCAGCTTCTCCAAGAGTGGCGAATCACTCCCAGCGTCCTGGAACGTCAACTGCTGAATATGTTTGAACCAGGGAGTTTTGCCACCCAAACTCTTCCACCAGTTGCTGATACCTAAGTGAGGACTGTTCAGCGTCACGAAATGCCCGTAAGACACTCCCACTTCCCCGTCACCAGCGTCAGCACCGAGGACTTTCTCGCAGATGTCGGGAAGCGCTTTCCGAGCAATGATGCCCCCAAGGGAATGGCAAACAAAGTGAAGAACAACACGGCAGAGCCTGGGTCTTCCCTCCTTCACCAGCTTGCTGAGCCCTGAGTTAACTTCTTCAGCAAGTTTCCGAGCCCAGAGCACTATGTCTCCATGCGGGTTGTGGACACAGCAATGCTTTGTAAAGGATGTGGAAACCAATGTTGTGTAAGACGACTGAAGCTTCTGGCTAAGCTCAGCTTCCAAATCTTCCCGCAAGCAGGCTTCCCACTGCACCCAGTCTGCTTCAGATCCGTCTATACCATGCACAAGCACAATGACATGAAGAGCAGACATTGTTGTCAGAGTACAGGGGTTTGTTGTAAGATCTTGAAAAGGTGAGCCCGCAGTCTCTCAGGCTTCATGCATGCTACAGCCTCAGCCCGATATCCTGAACCGAAATCTCGTGCAGTATGATATTACTCTATAGTGCTGTAAATACATTGTCAAATGATGTTGCATCTACACTGTAGTCATGGCACACTTTTTCTGATTGATCTGTCTCTCATTTGCAAGCTTTCAAGCGTCAACAAAGCAGCGAGTGTCTACGTAGGCTAATGCGCTCAAGAGCTTTATGCCTCAGCAAATGAGCTGCATGCATCTATACCTTAAACCCTAAACCCTATACTACATTCTACATCACATTGTAACTCTAAATCCTGGACCCTAGACTATATTCTTCACTACATGTACATGGCCTCGCAAAAGGCCTTTGATCCTTCTTAAAGGGCCCCTAAGGAGTAGCCTGTATTGGAAGAGTGCTGCATTAGGAATCTTGCAGACGAAACAGCTTGGTTCAGGGTTTAGGGTTTAGGAAGCTTTACACGTCTCCTACTTCGGACTACGGGGGTACTGGCAACTACCTTTGTATGCTGCTTGTCCCACATGCGTCTACTCAAGCATCCGCCCAGGTATCAGCAACATGCTGTGAACGATCTAGGAATGAATGAAGAGCCTCTATTGCAAGAAGCCCCCTCGTTTAGGGATTCAAGTCTAGAGCGTACGCTCCTCTACACATTTCCTTGGGTTGTGATGATCACAGATCGTACCATCGAAGCAGTCATGTAGGAGCCTGCATAGCTAGCAAGATCATGCCCTTTCAGCCCACATCTGATTGTAACATACTGTAACATACTACAACCCAAATTCTGATGTTACCCATTCATTTAGGCCCCTACTCAAATATGGCTGGTCCTGGTGACCCAAATGTATCCATATTGGGGACTTAGGGGGCACATAATTAGTTCAGGCGTACAACTAGCATTAGGTTAAGATAGCCTTGAGCCCTAAACCCTAAAGCCTGAACCCTCATGCTTGGGTTAAAATTACCTTAAACCTCCACGCACAGAGATCCTACACCCTACACCCTGAGCCCCAAACCCTAACTAAACCCCTAAACCAACACCTAACCCTAAATCCCAAACCCAAATCTCCGAACCGGCACACGAGCCCGCAGCAAGATCTTGGCATGGCAACGCTCGCTGAGGACAAGAACCTGAGATTGGAACTTGCTTGGGTTTGTGGTTTAGGGTTTGAGTGATTATAACCGCTACTTTGGGGTGCCATGGGGTCCTGTTAAAGGGCTTATAGGGACATAGAGGGTGCAAAGGGTTTAGGGTTCGGGGTAAGTGGGGCCCAGCTACAATGATCCGCCCACTAAGTTCCGTCATAGAGTCGTAGCTGGGTTATACAAGTATCAGCTAAAATTGCTTGATGTACTCTGAACCTCCATGTAGTAAATTGCAGGTTATAAACGGCGCATCTTATTTTCTGTAAACTTCCGTGTCATCCTTCACTGCCTACCCCGACAGTAGTTCTTAAGCCATGTCCCCTGCTGATCAAACACCACAACCGCAGGTGCGAGCTGATGTAGCTGAAAAGTTCCAAACATCCCTAGACCCTAAACCCTACAGCCTGCGTTCCTTGACAGCAATGCTGAAACCTCTGCAGTGTTTCATGACGTGGCAGGGACAGCTTGAGATTTCAGCTCGCAAACATCAATGCTAGCAGCTAATACTCTCTAAACCCTTATAGTCCCCCTTGAGTAGATAGAATATGGCTTTGGGCATATTACAATATCCCTACATACCCCATATTCTATCTACTTCAGGGGGACTATAACCCTAGACCCGAAACCCTGAACCCTATGAAGTGTGGTTACAAGAGGGCGTGCCAAATCTGTCTACTGCAGACTCCTGGCAATATCCTTCATAGCCCTCGCATAGAAGCTGAATCGAAAGCATGCATTCTTTAGGCGTTGGGTTTTGCTCGGACCCTAAACCCTAAACCCTAAACCCTAATCCCTAAAACTACTCTTCTTGCCAAGCCAAATCAGATCTAGCTCCCGAAATTATCTGAGCTACTGTCTAAACTCCTAGTATTCCCCTTAATAACCCTAAAAGTAGTTCCCTATATAATCCCATATATAACCCCCTTTAAGGACTTTAGACTATAGCTCATAATAGCCCGAAAAAATCCTTGAAGCCGGGTCCTGAAATGCTCCCTACACTCCTACCTAAACCCCCAAAAGTATGTAAAGTAATAGCCCTAAACACCAAAAAATAGCCATAAAGGCCATTATTTTACATACTTTTAGGGTCCAGGTACAATATCCTGTACGGATTTAGGCCAGTCCAATTTCAAGAGGCTGCCAGACATGAAGGCCAAGGCTACCCTAAGGGTCCAAGGACCCAAATAATAGGGTTTTAGGGCCCAAATGCCATGAATATTATAGTATTTGGGCCCTAAACCCCCATTATTTGAGTCCGTGGACCCTTAGGGCTAGATATATGGGTTTAGGGTTGAGGCTTTTGGTTGAGGGTTTAGGGAAGAAGTATGGGCTGCGTACATGAAAACTTATCCTGTTTCGGGTGGCGGGGAGACTGCAAGGACTGTCAATGGTAAAGCTGGGGTATGTACTAGGCATGTAAAGATTTCAAGGCCACCATTAACAGTCATTTTGTCATAAGCTATAGTCTAAACTCCCAGTATCCCACTTAATAAGCTTTATAGTAGTCCCCTATATGAACCCCCTTCACGGAGTTTAGACTGTAGTACATATTTTGCTTCTTGGGTTGTGATATCATGAAACTTGAAAATGCATTCATCAAGGACCCAGATCAAGGGCCCCTACTTTGAACCTTGAGCTAGCACTAAACCCTATAGCCCTAAACCTGAAGCCCTGAAACCCTGAACCCCAAATCCTGAGGCCTAAGCCCTAAATCCCAAACCCTACGCCCTGAGTCCCATACTTTGGACCCTGGGCTACGAAGCTCCAGACATCCGAGCCCGAGGCAGCATGCAATGTACCCGGGAGCTGTGGCATGTCGTCCGTGTACTTAGCCTGGAGTACTGTTGGTCCATGTAGCTATATGGTACGGTTTAAGTCTTTTTGTTGTTATTTATGGGATCTTTTCTCCACTAGTTAAGGTACTAGCGAAGAGCGCTTTACAGGTTAAGGGTTTAGGGATTGGGCTTTCGATATGGTTTAGGGTAGCTATATGGTATATACTTGGGCCTGAAAGTAGGTATATGGGAACCGCTTCAAGTACTAAGTATATACTATACCTCCCCCACCATAAGCCCTGATCCCTATACTATACATCTGCACACGGACCTTTAAGGTGTGGAGCCACAACTCATCCGTCTGATATATAGGGGTTTCCCCAACTTAGGGGTACCCTTGTGAGGAATTCCTACAATAACTACAATAAGGATTCTGGGGTCTATATTGGGGTCCCTCTATCTTGGGGAATTATCGTATATCAAACTGTTTAGCATTTAGGGCCGGGTTTAGGGGGTTTTTCACCACATACAGTGTGGACACCCCCGCCCTGTAATAGTGGTTTGTTTATATAGGAATATAAGAGAGCGCAAATACAATCATCATGATCCCTTATAGCCACTATTGCTCGGTGGGGGGCCCACCTAACG